TCCTAGCTTCTAATCTGTGTGATTTGGGGCAGGTGTGCTTAACCTCTTTAACCCTGTTTCCTTATCTTAAAAATAGCCATAAAATGCTGGGAGTGGTGGTATATGGCTGTAATCCTACTGTTGGGGAAGTGGAGGCAGGTGGATCACAAGTTCAAGACCAGCCTGGGCTATATAGCAAGTTTGAAGCCAGCCTGGGGGGCTACATAGTGAGACCCTGTTTCAATTCCCCTCACCCCCCAAAAAAGACATAGAAAATAAACACCTCATAGGATTGTTGTGAAAATTACAAAGCAACAACAGAATATGCTTGACAGAGTAGATACTAAAAATCATTGTAATCACTATTTACATATGGGTATTTTTTCGGCAGTACTGGGATTCGAATTCAGGGCCTACACCTTGAGCCAATCCCCCAGCCCTTTTTTGTGATGGTGTTTTTCAAGATAAGATCTCATGAACTGTTTGCCCAGGCTGGCTAAAAATCACGATCCTCCTGATCTCTGCCTCCTCAGTAGCTAGGATTATAGGGGTGAGCCATTGGTGCCTGGCTACATGTGGTTATTTTTAAAAGTACATTTAATGGTAAATATTGCCTTCTAAGTCAATTATTGCCTTGTTGACCTGCTGGATATGTAAGCTGGCTGGAACCTTGGAAAAATGTGGCCCAACCATACATTTCACAAGTGAGGAAAATAAGGATGAAGAAGATTACTAGGCCTCTGGAAGCAGGGGTGGCTCCAGCTTAGGCCATCTGAAGGACCAGGGAGCCGACCGATTCCACAGGTGCCTACGAGGGAGCTGTCTGCCTTTCCCATGGCATTTCAGCCTCCCGGCTTATTGCAGTCTGTCATCAGCATACACCTCCATTGTGGACAAGGAGAATCTGATTTAATTGGTTTGGGATGAGGACCAAGAATTAGGATTTTTTTTTCTTCTTGAGTCAAGATCTCACTGTGTAGCCTAAATTGGACCTGAACTCTTGCCTCGGTCTCCCAAGTGCTGGGGCTACAGATGTGTACCACCACACCCGGCTAGCACTAGGATTTTCTTGAAAAGCTCTTTATAAGGTGATTGCTGAGCACACCCAGTATGGAGACTTGCTGTCCTGTGTTTGGGATTCTGTGCTGTTCTTTACCTCTCCATCCCCATCTGGTTCAGGGCCTGGCCTTGTGCCTCTGCTGCCTGGCAGAGAACTAGGTGTCCTCATCCATGACACACACAGGCAATTGTGACTGTAGTATTATTCTCACCACTCCCCCAGCCTCCCTATTCACAGTGAGCACTTGGGAGTTCCATTTCTCTCTCTCTCTCTCTCTGTCTGTGAGTACTGGGGTTTGAACTGAAGGCCTTGAGATTGCTAGGCAGGTGCCTTCCACTTGAGCCATGCTCCCAGCCCTCTTACTTTTCATTTTGTTTTTCAGATAGGGTCTCTTTCTTTTCCCTGGGCCAGTCTCAGACTTCAGTCCTCCTACCTCTCCCTCCAGAATAGCTGGGATTACAGGTGTGCACCATCACATCCATCTGAAACTTGGGAGTCTTTCTAAATGCATCTGGGACAGTTCCCCTGCTCCAGACTTTGGGTGTGTACATCACCAACATGAGCCTGTGCCCCTTAGCATGGTGAAGACTAAAAGATCCCAGCCCTATCTCATCTCTTCTTCGTGCGTGACCTACCAGTAGTAACCTCAGAGACGCCAGCCCTCACTCTGGCCTGGCTGTTCTCGTGTTCAAAATGCGCCCCTTCCATCTCTCTGCTCAGTCACTTGAGCAGTTCCTGTTCATCCTGAAACACAAAACTCAGGTCTCAGACTTCCACCCTGCCTGGATCAGTCCTGGCCCTGTGCCTCCGCACACCCAGTGTCTGCCCTGGCCCTGACACTGGTGGCTATAGCATTTCCCCTGCTAGAATGTGAGCTCAGAGTTAGGACCACGCCTGTTCATCCCGCTGTCACATGTCACATGGCATGTCCTTAATAAATGTGATGAAATAATCTCACAGTAATTCCAGAGTTCAAGGCAACTTCAGCAGATAGAATGTTCCCATAAGCCATCTCTAAGAGGTATACAGTAGATGCTTAATAAGTGCTTGTAAATAATTATTTAACAAAATTAGGGGGGGAGAAATGACCCAAGCCTTGTATGCACATATGAATAATAAAACAATAAAAAAAAAACCCATTTCCAACCCAAAGAAGTCCACATTCACTCTGACGTTCCATTATAAATATTTTTTTTTTAAATTTAAGAATACCGATTAACACAGGAAACAGGTTTAATTCATGGAATTGTGCATATGGTCATCAGTTACATTGTGACATGTTAGTTTCATTATCATTGATTGGCACTGTCAACAGAATACTGTAAACAAGATCACTTTGTATGCGTGTCTGCAATGCTCCTAGCTATGGTTGTCTACCATGAGCTGATCTACAGATAGAGATATTGATAGGTATAGGTATATAGATACATTAATGTGCACAACTTTGCATGGTTACTGAGTGTCAGTAAAAATTATAAAAAAAACACCCATTTATAATAAAAGAGAATTACTGACTTGCTAGTACTAGACCTTGTTTTTTTTGTAAGAGACAACACACGACTGAGACATTGGCTAAACTTTGTGATACTAGTGTGTGATGGATTCATTTCAAGACCATCGGCCATCTTCTTCATGGGCTCTGCTCTGGACAGTGGCCAGGCCAGTCCACAGGGCTCCCCAGGGTTTTGCCAACCTCTCTCAAATTTCTACAATCTTGAGCTCTGCAAAAAATCCACTTCCTTGGGATTCTTCCAGCTAGGACCTCCCCCCGACCCCAGCCCCAAAGAGGATGTCTCCAGAGCACAGTGTACCCCAAGTCGACAAGAACTTGTAAGTAAATAGCTTAGAATTTTCTTTTTATGAGCAGTAACTTCTCTTGGTAAGAAGTGAATAGTAAATCTGGAAAGAACTTTCCAGATGAAGCAATTCTATTCCTCTGTCAATGCCCCATAGGGAGAAAACAACTACTGGAACCGCTCCCTCCACTGAAGAGAGTCAAGTCTTTCTTTGGACCCTGGCTTAAAACCTTACTGAATCTGTGTACCCCATGCTGAAGTTCTCAGGAGAAAGCATACATCAGTCAATAAATGAATTATGGTTTGCTTTGCATTTTTCTTGCTTGTTAAACAAGACCTTGAACCTTGGGATATTGTGGGTGGAGTCTGGCTCCCCAGTGAAGGGATGAGACCATGAACTGATGTGCGGTTATACATGCTATTCCCTTTCTGCAACACTCTTCCTTGCCTTGCCTTGCTTGCTGGTCTCCTACTCATTCTGCAAAACTCTGCCCAGCCATTGCTTTCTTCTTGATCGCTCCTCTGAGCCTTGGGTGGGTTGGGGTGCCCCTTTGACCAGCTGATGCTCCTTTAGCACTCTGGTTTATTCCTAATTTAAGAGTCTGTGGTTTTCAATGGGATGGGAGTGTCTCAAGAGCAGGGAGTACATTTATTTCATGTTTGTATTTTTGGTGTTTAGCATAGGGTCCAGGACGGCACAGATATTTCTTGAAAGTTTGATGAGTGAATGAATGATAGATGTGTAAATAAGCACACAGATAGGCAAAACCTCATAGAGAGAGGGAGGCAGACATCCTCACATAGCTGGCAGTGTGAATGACCTTGAGCGTGGTGGATTAGCCATGACTGGCAGGGATGCAGAGTACCAGGGTTCACGGATCTGTCCATGAACAGACACATCAGTGCCTTTTATTTCTCATGCTCAACAAAAAGAGACTGATGACCAAGTTTGAAGAAGAGTGGAAGCTAAATCTTTGGATGATTAGTTATTAAAAGAGCAAAGTGCTGACTCAGGAACCATGACATGCCCATCCTCCAAAGATGTCACCATGATGCGACACGGCTTCCTTTGGACACAGAACGCAAGCCAGCCTCTCTCAAATCTACCCATTGACCATCACCTAATTGTAGGACTGTCAGGTGTTCTTTTAGGAGCATTTGAGTTGGAATCAAGACTTTCTAAGAAAATCTTCCCTCCCCAGCCCCCACTGCAGCCTATGTAGGACAAGTTTCATCTGCCTGGTAATCTCGTGCTCAGTGTCCCAAGAAAAGCTTGCATTTCAGGGGCAAGTTCAAGGAAATCACCTTGAGCCAAAAGGCTACTTTTCCTGGCGTGGACCTCTGGCACCTTTAATTCAAGAAGAAATCTAGTCCCGCCAAGGTCCCCTCTGATGGGATGGAGCAAACAGGGATGGAGCAGGAGCTGGGGACAGAGACTCCCAGGGCCAGGGGACAGAAGTCAGAGCAACAGAGGCCCTGGGAGACGGGGAAGTGGCATTGCTTCCCCCTTGACCCTGGGCTTATGTTCTTGGAGCGATAAGCACAGGCTTGTGCTTTTGACCCTTTGGCTCAAGTGTGTCTCTGGACACTAGGCTGATATTCAACAGGAGGAGAGATTGGGGGATGGAAGATGTTGAGTGAGACCCTGCAAGGGCAGAGGCCAGTCAAGGATAGAATTCACAGTTCAGAGGCAGCCCCTGGTGCAATAAGAGAAGTGGTCCTTGCCTTCAGGAGGCCAGAGCCCCCTTCCCAATCCCAAGCTCAGTCCTCATCTCCCCACCTTATTGTCTTCCATGACCCTCCTAGTACCCCCTGAACTGTGGATGGGTGCACGGAACTCCACTCTGGGTGAAAAGGGGGGTGCGCCTTTGCTTGCACAGGGTTCAAGATGGAACGGAACCCAAGGGTCCCAGCTGCCAGTCTCAGACTGGCTTCCAAAGAAATTGGGGTTGGTCCCAAGTGATCAGGAATATGGTCAGGACCCCATGACCCTTCCTAAGACTATGTCCAAGGCTCAAGCAAAATTTCTGGGCTTAGACCAATGCAACCACTGACTCTGCAGGGAGGAAAATCAAAGCCAGGCCCTCCCGCCTTCCCCTCCCTTTCACCCCACAGCCACTAAGAACATCCCCTCCTCACAAATAACCCCTCAGTCTGTGCATTCGCCTCTGGTACTTTTAAGTGAAAACATGAATTAGGCAAACTAATCAATTTGACAACAGTTTGAGATCGGGGCTTTCTCAGAGTGGAAATGGCTTCTTTACTTGAAGTCTGCTAAGATGTCGCTGAAAATATTGAGGAACAGGTGAGCGTGGTGATCCCTGAAGACCAGTGTGGGACGGAAACGGATGGATTTGTCCCCGCAGCCCCCCAACACCACACCTGGAAGGAGAGACAGAAGGCAGGTTAGGCACATGGGATCCTCAGACCATGTGCAGGAGAGCAGCATCGGCTATACTCTCCCACCCATCCACCCACCACCATCTGTCCACCAGGCTCCCATGTGACCTTCCTCCCACCCCCATCCAGCCTTCCCTCCCCTCTTGTCCCCTCGTCCATCCTTCTCTTCCCTCCCTCTCTTTCTTTTTTTGAGACAAAGTCTCAAACTCACTGGCCTCAACTCACTATGATCCTCCTGCCTCAGCCTCCTGAGTGCTGAGATTGCAGGCATGCACCACCATACCCGACACTTCCTAACTTTGAATACCCATTCTCCTCCCCCTGAATTAGGTTGAGTGATAGAAAAATCCTGAGATAAAAGTCCTTGCCTGCCAGAAACCCATGGCATGCTAGGGAAAGAAAATAAGCAAACAAATAAATTACAGATACACCGGCCAAGTCAGAAGTATATGAGGACAGAGCCGAGCTATTGCTGAACAGGGATGGATGGACCCTGCTCACTTTATTTTAAAGGGAGGCTTTGACATTTGCAGATGGTCATGCTTGACTGGCTTGTTTAGCATCTTTGGGATTAGATTCTCTCTCTCTCTCTCTCTCTCTTTTTTTTTTTTGGTGGGACTGGAGTTTGAACTCAGGGCTTTGCACTTGCAAAGCAGGAGCTCTACACTTGAGTCACACCTCCAGTCCATTTTGCTGTGGTTATTTTGGAGATGGGGTCTTGAGAACTATTTCCCTAGCCTGGCCTCAAACCAAGAACCTCTCAATCTCAGCCTCCCAGGATTACAGGCATGAACCACAGGCACCTGGCAGATGTTTTCATTTTAAACAGGAGGCTAAGCTGAGCGTGGTGGCACATGGCTGCATCCAGCACTTGGGAGAGGCTGAGGCAGGAGATCACAAGTTTGAGACCAGCCTAGGCTACACAGAGAGACCCCACAAGTCTGATTTGCCCTGTCCTACAGAGATGCTGCAGGAATTCTATAAGAAGGCAACAGAACGCTGAGTGTGGTGGTGCACACCTGTAATACCAGCACTCTGGAGGCAGAGGAAGGAGGGTCGATTGCAAATTCAAGGCCAGCCTGGGATACATAGTGAGACCCCCATCTCAAAAAAACCGAGGGCTAAGGATGCAGCTCGTTAGCAGAGGACTTGCCTAGCGTGCACCAAAGATCTGACTTTGTGCCTGGCACACTGTAGGTGCTCTGATCTACCACAGTATCCCTCCATTTGAAGGTTCTTGGTGGCTTCCTATAGTTTGCAGGGTAAAGTCCAGAGTCTTGAACCTGATCCACAGGCTAGCATGACACGGGCCTGGCATCCAACCCCCCAACTTTACCCCTCCTGTCTGTCTATCTGTCCCCATTTTACTCTCATCTTTCCGTTTCTCCACCTCTGTTATCTGCAGCCTGCCTCCTGTAACTGCACATACTCCTCCATCTTCCAGAACACTCTCCCTCACTGTCCCCACCTGGCCACTTCCTGTTGATATCACAGGCTTTCAGGTAAAACACCATTTCCTCCAGGAAGCCTTCCCTGACTCTATCTTTCCCTAGTCAGTCACTCTCTGACTGCATATAATTGCAGCGGATCTTTGTCCTCCTTCCTGCTAGACTGAGACTTCCTGAAGGAAGGACCCATACGTGTCCTTCAGTGTGATGTTCCCACGGTGGGTGCAGCTTACCCTCCTAGTAGACGCCCACCACATGCATGAGTGGATAAAGTAATCCCACTGGGAACTTTTCTTCTTTAGACAAAAAAGTCAGGCTGTGTTTAGTTCCTGTACCTTCTGTTCCGCACCTCCTCACCCCGTACTTAGCAATATTTGTACCTACACCAGGAAGTGCTGGACACCCACAAAGCTCAGTCCCCTCCCGGCCGCCTTACCTTTGTTTCTGGCTATTAAAATGAGTTTATTCCGTATGGATTCATCTGGAGTGTCGAAGGAACAAAAGGTGCCTCGTCCTCTCACTCTGCTGATGAACTGGGGGTACCGGGCCTGCAAGGAGGAGACAGACCAGTGTCAAAGTGTCACTGATTCTACCTGGGCTCTGTAGCTGTCATCCCTCAATTGCCCCAGGGTGCAGCCTTCGGGTAGGGCCGCTGTTGGGCTAGGAGCTATGGCTCTGAGTCTTCCACGCTGGGTTCAGAACCCAACTCCATCTCCATCTCTTTCTCCTGTGCCAACTTGGGGAGTCACTTAAATGGCCTTTGTTGGTCGGACTTTTCATCACTGTGACAAAAGTACCTGAGAAAAATAACTTTTTTTTTTGGTGGTGTGACAAATTTTAATTCAAAATAGACATTCTGAGCTGGGTGCTGGTGACTCAAACCTGTAATCCTAGCTACTTAGGAGGCTGAGATCAGGAGGCTCTCAGTTTGAGGCCAGCCAGGGGAAATAGTTTGTGAAACCCCATCTCCAAAATAACCAGAGCAAAATGGACAGGAGGTGTGGTTCCAACAGTAGAGCACTTGCTTTACATGCGTGAAGCTCTGATTCAAACCCCAGTCCTACCAAACAAACAAAACAAAAAACCAGACACTCGGAGGACAGCAGGTAAAAACAAATAAAGTCCAACAAGTTTTCTCCGAGTTTACAACAGAGCACATCAATCATCACGGACCATTTTCACAACTGCCTGGAAAGGCACAGTACAGCAATTATAGGCAAGTGTTATATTTTAAAAATTCACGTGGCAACATTGTAGTGCTTTCCAGAAGCTGTCACAGCCTCCAGATAAGTGGGAGGACCAGATCCCTTCACTGCGCATCCCTAGGAGGTGACCCTGGTCTAAGCTGGCCATCCACTGGCCTGGTGTGCTTGCTGAGCAAAACAGCTTAAGGGAGAAAAGGTTTCTTTTGCTCACAGGTGCACAGGTTTCCATCCATCATGGCGGGAAAGGGCACAGGAGAGCAAGCAGCCCATGCCATGATGGCCAGGAAGGGGAGACAGAAAATGCCTGAGCTAGCAGGCTTTCTTCTTTTTTCCCTTTCATTCCACTCAGGCCCCAGCCTATTTGATGGTGCAGCCCATGTTCTGAGGGTCTCTCCCCTTAGTTAATTCTCTCTGAAACAGCCTCAGACACAGCCAGAGCTGTGCTTTACCAGTCTCCTTGGTGTCTCTTAATCCAACCAAGATTAACCAGCATATGGCCTGTGCCTCAGCTCCCTCTTCTGTAAACTGAAGATATAAATGCTACTGACTGCAGTGAGCTGTCATGAGAACTCAGTGGGACAGGATTTCTGTGCCAGGTCCTGTGTCCAGGGCCTGGCACTTAAGGTGCTCCATAGGTTGTCGTCATCTCTATTACTAGCTCTTCTTCTAGAAAGGTGGTGGTTCTTCTCCAAGGCTTTGGAACTGGGAGATGCATTGGGTTGAACAGTTCTCTGCCACTGGGGCATGGCTTAAGTGCTAAAGTCATAAAGCACTTGCCTAGCATGTGCAAGGCCCTGGGTTCAATCCCCAGCACTGCACGTACACACACACACACACACGCTTGGAATCATGTCCTGCCACCCCAGTTCATTCCCACCTGAAACCTGTGAATGTGACTTTATTTAGAAATCGGGACTCTGCTGATATAGACACTTAGGTTAAGATGAGGTCTTACTGGATGAAGGTGGCCCTGATCCAATGACTCACAGCCTTGTAAGATGGAAATCTGGACACAGAGACACACGCCCAGAGGACAGAAGACCAAATGATGCTGGAGGAAGAGGCTGGAGTTATGTGGTGACAAGCCAAGGGTTGCCAGAAGCCACCAGAAACTGGGAAAGACGCATAGCAGATTCTCCATCAGAGCCTCCAAGAAGAACCAAGCCTGCTGGTACCTTGACTTCAGGCTCTGGCCTCTAGGGCTGTGCAAGAATACGTTCTTGCTCAAAGCCACCCAGCTTGTGGTAAATTGTTACGGCAGCCCAAGGGGACTCACATAGGCTCCAGGACCAGGCAATCTGGATTTCTCCCTGCCCTCCACCATCAGTGTGAAGGACAGAGGAATGGCCAAAAAAGCTCATGCCAGGGCGTGGGCAAGCCTTGTTTTATGACCACTCCCTGGCAGAACTGGAAATAAAGTCATGATGCTCAGGTGACGGAGCTGTGCCCTGCACTGTGGTTAGTATTACGTGCCTGACTGTGTGTCCTCACCCCACAGTGAGGAAGGGCTCTGCCAAGATGAGGGGACCAAGGCACCAAAGGCCCTCCAGTGCCTCCTTTTCTACTTTATTTCTTGGCACTCAATGACTGCCTGGGAGCCAGAGACACGAACACCCCCCTCACACACATACACACACCAGAGTGTGGCCTCTGGGGAGGTAGAGAGCAAAGTCTCTTCCAATCAGACATGCCTCGAGGCCCTTGTACCACACACACACACTTTTACACACACAACTCCCACTTACACATACACTCATACACACACACATACTTTTGCACCAACTCATACCTGCATACACTTGCATATTCACCTTCTCACATGCACACATGTACACAACTTCACACTCATACACATTCTTGCACACACCCACATTTGCTCTCTCTCACTCACACACACACACACACACACACACACACACACACACACAAGCACACAGAGCAGGGCTTGGTAACGGATGACTTAATTATTAGTGCAGAGCAGCTGGAGCCCTGCCCCTTCCTCACTGGGCGGGGGGGGGGGGGGTCTGACAGGCCTCTAGGGGCCTGAACATCTGCACACAGACTTCCTTGTATTTCACCCATTTCCCGCTCATTCTTTTAGGGCGTTTCTGAGATCCCCATTCCTGCCTGCCTACAGCTTTGAAAGGTCCTGATAGGAACCCACAGCTCCTCGCACTCCTCTAAATTACACCCAACACAGGTTCCTCAAAGCATGATGTTGGGGACGCTTTCATGGAACCCTGGTTTTTTTTTGGCACCATCCTTCACACGGAGCCTGCTTCCACAGCTCTTCTCAGAGCTCGGTCACCTTAGTCCGGGACCTTTACCTTCCAGAGCATTAGTTGGGACATTGAAAAGTTCCTAAGCCTTGCTGTTGCTGGAGCAGCATGACTTCATCCACAGGGTCAGAGGCCATGACTTCTTTCTATGCAATCTGACCATAAGTGTCCAATTGTTCTCTGTCCTACTGACCTATCTGGGTCATCTGAGCCCATTCTGAACTCTTCTGCCTTTTTTCCCCCTAATGTCCTAGTTCTGTGTTCCCATCTGTTCCCCCTGCAGCACTGTGAACTCTGCCTGACCCTTCTCACCTCCACAGCCCATGAAGCCCCACCATCATGGCTCACGAGGAGGGCAGCCATCCGTCCCCATAGACCACACAGGAAGGAACTCAGCTCAAAACAAGGAGCAGGCCAAGGACACTAAGATCTACACCTGGCCTGGGTCCCAGGCCATGTCCCACAATTGCTTCAAACACCTCAAGCAAGGCCCAGATGTCTCCCAGGGAAATAAGTACTGCCTCTGCCACTGGCTGGTGATGGAGCACCGCTGGCTGAAAGGAAGGATTCAACCCTGTATGGATGCACTCCTTGTGCCGTACCCCTCGCCAACCCCAGTCCAAAGTCTTAGCAATCCTAACAGCAATACCAAGCCCTTCACGGTCTTTGGAATGAAGCAGGTATGGATTTGAAACTTGGCTTCCTGACTGCAGCTCAGGCTTGTGCAAAGAACTTATGTCCCCGATTTGAGGCTAAGCATAGTTTCCTAACTTTAAATTGTCCTGAGTTGGGTTGCATGGTAAAACAGAGAGTGCTCAAGTTCAAATAGAATTTCAGATAAATGGCAAATTTTTTCAAAGTAGGTCTCAAATATTTTACACTTATGAAAACATCCGTTGCTGCTTCTCAAATTTAACAAGGAGCCCTGTATTGTAATTTGCTGAAGCTGGTAACTCTCCCTGGAGAGCAGGTAGGACTGTACTGTGTATGGAATGAAGTCCTGTGTCTTGCCCTCTGGTTCTTGGACTTCTGAAATTTAAATTCAACTCTGGTCCTGCCTTTCCTCCCCTAAATGTGACAACTCCATTCTAAGGACTGAATGACACAGGTACTTAACACATGCCTAGTACATAGCAAGTCCTCAATTAATGGACACTGCTATTGTTTGATCCTTAATCATGATTGTCAGGGAGGTAAATACTGGCAAAAAACCCACACTGTGAAGTCCACCAGATTCAGGTTCAAACTCATGTGGTACCACACAGAAGCTGTGTAACTTTTTTTTGGTACGGGTTTGAACTCAAGGCCACACCTTGATCTACTCCACCAGCCCTTTCTTGTGATGGGATTTTTGGAGATAGGGTCTCATGAACTATTTGCCCTGGCTGGCTTCAAACTGTGATCCTCTGATCTCTGCATCTCAAGTAGCAAGGATTACAGGTGTGAACCACCGGCTCCCAGCTAAAGCTGTGTAGCTTTGGATACGGCCGCTATGCCTCAGTTTCCTTATCTCTAAAATAAGGGTGATAATCATGCCTAGATCCAGAGCACTACAATTTAATGTAAATGAAGGAGGGTATGGAAGTCCCTGGATAGGACCTAGCACACAGTAGGCTTGCAATAAATGGAAGCTGTCACTATTATCACCCCTCCTCCCTTTGTCAGGGCCACCCATCACTGCTATGGTTTGGATATGAAGTGTCGTCCCCCAAAATCTCACGAATTGAGGGTTGGGTCCTTCTGAAATATGAAGTTGTGCTGTAAGCTTAAAATACACACTAGCTGGGTGTGGCTAACGCCTGTAACCCTAGCTACTTGAGAGGCAGAAATCAGGAGGATGACAGCTCAAAGCCAGCCTGTGCAAATAATTTTTGAGAACCCATCTTGAAAATACCCAACACAAAACAGGGCTGGTGGAGGGTCTCAAGTGGTAGAGCGCCTGCCTAGCAAGCGTGAGGCCCTGAGTTCAAACCCCAGTGCCACCACTGGAACTGCGTCTTGCAATACCTCCCAGTGGGTGGGGCTGCTGCAGAGGGGAGAGATACAGAATGCAGGATAGAGCAGAGATAATGGACACCCCAGTGTGAGAGAGGGAGTCTTTGGGAGGGGACTGGGAGTGGGGCTGGGATGGAGGGATGTGGCTGCAGGGGACAGGAACCCTGAAGCAGCATGGCCCGATCAGAACTGCTGGGATGGCAGGTGCGGTGCCAAGGTCGGGGTGGTGGTGGAGAGGCACCTGGAGGTCCAGTAGCCCGGTGAGCAGGGCTTTGCCTGCATGGGCTGCGTTGTTCAGCAGGTCCTCACGTTTGATGACGTTGATGACCTCGGCGAGCAGCAAGTTCTTAGATGGGTCCCCCAGCCAGGTGTTGAAGATCCGGTAAGGCTGGAAGGAGGGGGCGTATCAGAGGGGCTGTTACGTTGGCATACCCCAAAGGGGCCCCCACACCCCCAAACACACCTTCTTCTCTCTCTCAGAAAGGTCAGGAACTAACCCGGTGAGCATCTCCTGAGAGCCAGGAGGAGGATAACACACACTCTCTCACCGAAGTCTTCCACCGACACCCCAAAGGTGGCTACTGTTGAGGGACCAAGTTGTCCCGTGCCCAGGGATATCCTTGGGCTCAGGGAGTCAAGACAGTTGGTTTCTTAGCAGCCATCATTAACAGAAGTATGTTCTGAGAGAGGTGTTGTCACCAGGAGATTTTGTCATTGTGTGAAAATCAATGGATGTGCTTCCACAGACCATGACACTAAGGTGTCACTAGACCAACATGAGATGCACGCTCTGTGGTTGACTGCAATCTTGCTACTCGGTGCACAACTGTGTATAACCATCCTTTCACAGAGCAGGAAGCTGCGGTCTGGAGAGGTTAAAGGGTTTGCCCACAGCAAATATGGTGTATAGCAGTCGAGCTGGGAGTAGATTGTTGGCGCACTGACCCTCAAAGAGCACCCACTTTACACATCCATGAATTATTTAGGGTGCAGTGTAGGCAATTACAATACACTTCCCAGTCTCTTGTAGTGTGATTAGGGTTTAGGTAAGTGTTAGAAATAGAAGTATTACGTGGAATTTCTGGGAAAGCTGCTAAAGACAAGAAGAGGTTACTTTGTCTTTCCCTTATTTTTCTTCCCACTGCCTAGAATTGAGATAAGATTGCTGGAGCTCCAATAGCCATTTTGGACCATGAAACAATCTTAAGGGTAGGAGCTACATGTAGGAATGATGGAAGGATTCTGAAGCCTTCATGTCTGGGTGTGTGTGTGTGTGTGTGTGTGTGTGTGTGTGTGTTCATGTGTGTGTGTGTATGTGTTTATAGGCCAAAGAGACTATGCACACATTTCAGTACAACGTATTGCTTAAAAGCAAGGGCTCTGGGTTTGAATCCTGACTTTTCCACTTACAGTCTGTATGGCCTTGGGCTGTACATATAAACTTCTCTGTGCCTAACTCCCTACTAGTAGGAAGGGATAAAAGAACACCATGAGACACATGTCAGCACCGAGCAAATGCCATCTAATATTGTCTGTGACATCAGAAGACTGGCTAATGACTGTGACAAAGATGGGATGACTGTACTGTTGACTAGTTAAATCGGTACAAATTGGGCCATCTAGGGGCCCCTTAATTCCTCGTGTGTGAGAAACAGGTGGTGTGAAAAGGACAGGGAAAGAAGGCCGGGTCTAACTCACAGCGCTGGGCCGGAACTCCTCCTTGTGGAAGAAGCCCCCTGTCATCATCTTCTTGCTGAAGGTCATCACATCTGCTGGGTCATCCAAGCCCCAGTGCTCGTGGGCCCAGAACTTTCCTGTGCAGCCCCCTCCTGTCTGGACCTCATCCACTAAGAAGGCACAGCCATGCTGGCCGGAGACAGAAGAGAAGGGAGAGAGATGAACACATGTCAGAGGCCAGAGACCCTCTGTCTCAGGGCCTTCACCTTGAGCCACTCCACCAGCCCTTTTTTGTGACTTTTTTTTTGAGCTAGGGTCTCACAAACTATTTGCCTGGGCTGGCTTGAAACCACGATCCTTCTGGTCTCTGTCTCTTGAGTAGCTAGGATTACAGGCCTGAGCCATGGCACCCAGGACCATCCTTGTTTTCTAAACTGCAACCTAAACCCACATTCCTGGGCTAACAAAACAGAACACCTAAATAGAGCAGTTCCAACCACAGCTGCAGCTGAGTGGGTCCTAAAACTGCTGGACTGAAACAAAACCAGAGCATACACCACTCCCACGCTGAAGCAGAGAGCACTGCTGCATTGGGCTATAGTCCTGGGGCCTGACCTGGCCAGAGGCACTGTGTCCAACCATGAGGCTGAGACTTCATTTCCTACACATCAGTTGCTACGTTCCAGAAACGTATCACTCAGCCTGCTACTAATTCACCGTTTGTATTTAAACTGACTCGTATCCTACAACTTTTATCAGTGGACTGACTGGTGTGATGTCAGTCCCAGCCCATTGAAGGAAACACAGGAGCTTAACACTGACTTCTCATTTTACATCTGCTGAGTACAGGTCTCTAGAAAGGAAGTGGGGGGGGGGGCCTTCCCAGGGACCTCTTTGTTTGCTTGCTTGTTTTTTGTTGTTGTTGTTGCTGTTGTTTTTTTGGCAGTTCTGGTGTCCAGAACTTTACATACCAGGCAAGAAATCTGCCTCTAGCTACATCCCTAGGCCCTCAGGGACCTCTTAATTGAGAAAGTTCTAGATTAAGATAGCAGATTGGAGGCTGATTTTGCAAAAAAGACTTTTTTTTTTTTGTGGAACTGAGGTTTGAACTCAGGTCTTCATGCTTGCTATGCAGGCACTTACTTGAACCACTCCACCAACCCTTTTTCTGTGATGAGTTTTTTCAAGACAGGGTCTCTTGAACTATTTGCCCAGGGCTGGCTTCAAACCAGGATCCTCCTGATCTCTGCCGCCTGAGTAGCTAGGATTCTAGGCGTAAGCCACTGGTACCTGGCTTGCAAAAAGATTTTAAAGAAGAATTTTTCAAGCTTCCCTCAACTCCAACTCTCTCTCTCTCTCTCTCTCTCTCTCTCTCTCTCTCTGTCTTTGTGCTGGGTTGGTACCAGGGCTCCAGGCATGCTAGGCAAGTACTGTACCACTGAGCTGTACTCCAGCCCCAACCCCAGCTTTTTGGCCATGGCATGCAAGCCAAAGCTCACTCAGACCCCAAGCAGAAGTGGAGCCAACTCTTTGCTCTGTGAACCCAGCCCAGAAACCCCTGCAGCTCCATCCAGCCTCACCCCATCCTCTAACCTTCCTGGCAATGTCTCTCAGCTTCCGGAAGAAGTCATCTGATGCGTGGTTGTCTCCGCCCTCTGACTGGATGGGCTCCACAATGACCCCAGCCACTGTCTTCTTCTTTTTCCGGTATTTCACAATCAGATCTTCCACCTGGATCCCAAGGGGGGAAATGGCAATTGTTCTCACAGGCTCCCAAGTAGTGTCCATAGATGGGCCTCTGGGGCTACAGGAACCCTCAAAATTCCATTGAAAACGTGTTTGTGACATTTTCTGTGATGATATGGTGCTGATGGAAATGTGTCCTACTAGGAATTGTCCCTAGGACTGTGGGGGATGCAAACTGCAAATCATACAAGGTCCTCAGCTTTCTGTAGTCTCACTCTCCTGATCTGTGAGGCTGGCAAAAGGAAAGAACCCAATGAAAGAGCAGAGTCAGTTACCAGCTACTGTATGGTTGCTATTGTTATGTCATTACTGGTTTTTTTGTTTTGTTTTGTTTCATTTTTTCCGGTACTGGGGTGTGAACTCTGGGCCTATCCTTTTTTGTGATGGGTTTTTTCAAGATAGGGTCTTGTGAACTATTTGCCCATACTGGCTTTGAACCATGATCCTCCTGATCTCTGACTCCTGAGTAGCTGGAATTACAGGCATAAGCCGCTGGCACCCAGTGTTATTACCGTTCTTATTGTTTGGGGAGAATCTGAGATAGAGCCTCATTTTAAAAACTGCCACATGGCTGGTCTGTGGTGAGAGCAATCTCATCTATGGCTGTGTGGAGTGGGGCTGGGGAGGGTGTGGGATGGACCCTTCAGATGGACCCAAGGAAAATGTCCAGGGTGGGGTGATCGTGTATTTATTTGTCAAAACTTATTAAACTGAACAGTTAAGTGGGAGCATTTTATGCTACATAACTTACATGTTACTGAATTAAAAATATCCATGGGCTAGGGACCTGGCAAGCCTGAGGGCCTGAGTTCAATACCCAGTGCCACAAAAAACAAGCAAACAAAACCCTAACTGTAACAGCAATGAGGTATAAGAACAGCACCTGGTTGTCCCCAAGTGGTGACATTTCTTGAGTTCTTGTTCTAAAGTGGTTGTCATCTTATAGATGATAACCAAGTAATAACTGTGATTAGTTTATTAAGTCTGTAAAATTAAAAAACCAAAGCACACAGCTACATAAAGTAAGAAAGGCAATGTTCTTTGTTATACAGAGAGGAGGAAAGCCTTCTGTTTGGATGATTTGGTCCGGATCCCCTCAGTCACCCTGGGGATTGGCGCTTTTCAAGTCACTTATAATCATCACTGTTTGGGTTTGTTTATATATTTGTTCAAGGCTTTCTTTCCCACTACCCTGAGCTCTCCAAGATGGTAGCCATGGACCACATGTGACATTGACTACTGAGCATGTAGTTGGTCCAACTTGAGCTGAGCCATCAGAATAAATCACACACGATATTTCAAAAACTTAATATGAAAGCGCTCGCTAGTAATTTTTAAATGTTAATCACATGTTGACATTACTTCAGATATCAATACAATGCTTAAAATTTTTTCTAATTTGTTTCTTTTTACTTTTTAAAATGGCGATGATTAGAAAATCAATAATTGGGACTGGGGGCGTGGCTCAAGCAGTAGAGCACCTGCCTAGCAAGCTCAAGCCCTGAGTTCAAACCCCAGTACCACAAAAGAAGAGAGCAGCTGTAACTATGTATGTGGCTTGCATTGTATCTTTATTGGACAGTGCTAATCCTTTCTCTGTTGCCTTTCATTTACCACCAAATGTCCAGTGCTCACACCTAGCAGGTGTGCAGTAAATATTAATTGCTTGAAAAACTCTGACACACATAAGGGGAAACCCAGCAGTCACATCTGAGCTCAAGTTCAAACCGGTAGCCATTTTTGCCTCCAGGAACAGAATCTTTTCCGTGTAAAACACGGAACCTCAATACTTAGGATAGCTCAAAAGTGGCATTTCTATAGAAGTGTAGTCCCAGAGACAGGAGGTTGTACTCTCCTCATTCTCTCTCAATGTGGCCCCCGAGGAAACCCAAGGAAGCCCCAGGACTCAGGGGACCAATGTAAACCAGTGCACTTAGCATCCTGTGGTGTCATTTTTTTCTCTGAGATGCCCCATAATCTTTCAACAAATCCATTCCCCTTTATTTTAGTCACTGACGTTTGCCTCTAAAGAGACGTAAATGATAGAGGAGTTGGTGGCAGAAGTGGGGGTGAATGCTGAGTGGGTGCAGCACAGTGCGTCACTCTCTTTCCTAACAGGGAACGTTAGAGGCCCGAGGCGTCCCCCTGTCTCTATTTCCTCCCCGGGGAGCAGCACCCTGGGCCCCAGGTGAACGCTCCATCTGTCCACTTCTGGGCCCACACTCAGGAAGGTGAGGGAAATCGGGAGGGAGTGGGTGGAGCCCCGGTTACCTCCTCCAGGCAGCGGGCCTCCTCTTGCTGGTTGTCCTTCACAAACTCCTCCAGTGGGTATTTTAGCCGTGGGAACGGCGCGATGGGCCAGTCGAAGGAAGGGATGTCGAGCTTGTGGATGGCTTTAGAGTGGGTGGTTGCTAAGCAACCTGAGTCCGGCAAAACAGAGAAGCAGTGATATGGAAGGAGATGCCAGGTGGGTATGTCAGCCTCAGACCCGAAATTCCCAAGGAGGCTGCTGTCTGCAGATCCCCAGCTCTTGTGACACCCCCACTCCGAAGTAGAACCCTTGGGCCATTACTGTGCGTGTGCATGTGCTTCATGATCACACACAGCTTCTGAAGATGGGAGACAGGGGTTCAAATTCCAGCTCTGTCATTGAGTGACTTGGAAAGTTCTTTCTTTTGCTGATCCTCAATGTCCACATCAGCAAAGTGGACGTAACAGTTCTCCACCCCCACCCCCTTCCACCCGTGCAGGGAATTGTGCAGAATCAATACAACAGTATATGCAAACCACCAACACCAGAGCAAAGGCAGCTGTCCTATTGTTACTGTTATTATAACTCTAAACGCCACCTTGGGACCATACTGGTCCTTCCTTACCCATGGTCCTCCCGTGGAAAGCACCCATGAAGGACAGGATGCTGTAGTCAGGGCACCCGGGAGCCTAGAACCAAGAAATACAGTCATTGGTCACTGTTGTGGGTCCTGGGGACTGTGTGCCACCCTGCAAACCTGGAGAGATGGAAGTCCACGAGAAGAATTGGGGATCTTGGTCGCAAACTGGACCCCCAGGCTCTATACCTAGTATACACATGTTTTGATTTGCTTACATAGTTAATTTTAAGAAAAGTCAAATATAGAACCAAGAGATTTCACATAAATGTCTGAACTTCTAGCTTCACAGAAGGTCTGCCCTATGGCGGCATTTTTCTCATTGGTATGAGTGGGTGGTCACAGTGTCCATTGTCAGCCCTTCTGCTGGATGAGGGCGTCTGATATCTGCCTCTCCAGCCTCTCCAGCTCCTTCTGCCTGCCTGTCCCTCATGGAAGATGTCCCAGGCTTTGGAAGAGGTTTTCTGGATCAGGAGACGGACCCCCCTTTCCCCTGCCCAATGGCAACTGCTTTGGGAAGGGCATGAATGCAAAACACAACTTTCTAGCCCCTTTCCAGCCCCTTCCTCAAATTGCTTCCAGACACTCTATCCAGCCAGGGGCCTCAGACAGGCCTCCTCCCGGCTCACTCAGCGAGAACAGCTAAGGCTCCTCAGGGTCCCCTCCAGCTAAGGCTCTGGGAGGCCAGTGCAGAATTTTTTCTGAGACCCTGGGGAAAACTTCAAGACCTTTTCCCACAAATTCCAAAATACCCTCTTGTCACTTTTTTTTCTTGTCTCCTGCTTATACATGTAATATACACATCACTATGCATATTTGGACAGTTACTAAAAGTGAGGAATGAGATCTAAAAATGTTGATAGATTAGTATGTGCACAGATATTAAAGAAGGCATGCTTGGAGAAACAGGTAGAGTGAGATACATTTAGAGAAAAAAAAGGGCTGAGGCAGGAGGACCACAAGTTTGAGGTCAGTCTGGGCTATACAGTGAGACTCTGTCTCAAAAAAGCAAACTGAACCCACATCCCAAAAAAACACTCCCCCTTAACACTCCTCCAAAAAACCCCAGCCAGGTGTGGTGGTACCTGCCTATAATCCCAGTACTTTGGAGACTGAGACAGGAAGAGCTGAAGTTGGAGGCTAGCCTGGCCTTTAAAATAAGTTTCAGGCTAATCAGAGTTGCATAGATACTCTATCTCAAAAAAGAAATAAAATTTCAAGTTTATGTAGGTCTATATGAATACATTTGGTAGAATGATGCAGGATTAAGAAAAATATATATGAAAACAAGCATAAGAAAGAAAACAAAACAAAAGGAAGAAACTCCAAATCAATCTGTCTCCTCAGAGGTAAGCCATTGTGAACATGCCAGCAGGGTTTCTTCTGGTGTTTTCTACATGTTTGAGAGCACAGTGTCTGCACAATTTACACTCTACTGTTTTCACTAAATTACAGCACACTACTAGGCCACGAGGAACCCTTTGCAATTATTTTTGATTCAGAATATTGTGGATGTAAGTATCAGTAATTAAGTAGAGTAGCTCTTAATATTTTCCCCTTCCCTCCTCTTTTCTCCCCTCTCTTCCCCTGCCCTTCCCTTCCTTCTCCTTCTTTTCCCTCCCCTCCCCTCTTCTTCCTTCTGTCTAAACCTTAACAGGACCCCAGACAAAGAGGACAAGGCTGCTTTGGTTGGGACTGTGTGGGAAGCTCACAACTGTAGACACTTGGTTTTCCCTACATCACTGGCTTCCCTGCTGTCTCAAATTGCTAGGGTTGCACTTGAAACTCCTGCATTTAACTAATATTTCCCCATTCCTGGATATATAGGAATGGGGGATGTATAGGGGCTTCCAATCTTTTCTGATTATCACTATAAACACCAATGGGGTGAACACTCTGGAATCTTCTGTCATGCTGATGCTGTGGGTTGTTCTAAATAATACATTAATGGCTTCTGTAGATCTGTCAATTGAGGCAGGTGTCCTGGGAACCTACTGGTGGGTAGACCAGGCAGAGCTCTACTTAGTCCTGATACCCAGAGAATGAACTCAACAGTGATAAGGCTTGGGGACCCCTCCTAGTTGAGAAGGAGAGGGTTCATCAACCAGTGTCAGTCCAAGGGGACCAGGACAGTTCCCCAAATGGCTGAGGCAGGAGGCCCAGATGCACCTACCTGGTTAATCATGCAAGTGTCCAGCTCCTCTTTGGAGAATCCCCTCTGTCCTCTTTCCTTGCTCTGCCAAAACAGAACAGAACAAAAGCTGAGATGCTCTGAGTGTAGATGGGGGATCCACTCTCCTCCCCTGCAAACTGAGGTTTAGTCTAGACGACCAGAACGTCTTTCTCGACAGCTGACCTCGTGTACTGACCAGGACCTGTCTGCACTGAGGCAGAAGATTGTTAATTATGCTTGCAACAAAATAAATAGATGCACACACTCATGCACTAATAAATATATTCTATTGGCAAAAGCTAAGGTCTGTTGAGATGGTGTGAGTTATGCCAGGAAAAACAGCACAATGACATTGGGTGGGTTGTCAAAGCCTGTCTTTTTCATGGCAACACATTGGGATGCTGGGAAAGCCCACCTGGGCCCTCCCTTGACTTTGACCCTGGCTACTGAAGTCTAACACTCCAGCCTTTCAGGATGAACAGTCACACGAGGGCTGAATGAGAGTGGGCGTGTTCGTGGCCCAAACCTCACCCGGTACCACATGAAGATAGTCTTGAATGCGTTTTCGTTGGAGCAGGAGCCACAGGCCATGGTGATGAGCTGGGACATCCCCTTGGGAGCCACCTGCAAAGGAGCTGGCTGTGAGCCCAGGCCCGTTTGGACCCCTGCCTTCCCTCCCTGGAGCTGTACCTCCCAGGGGCTGAGCCTTGGGCTCTGCATCATCCCAGCATCAGAGGAGGCCAAAGGAGAAAGATGGAAGGAAGCAGGGATGTCCTGAAAGCAACCAGAGTGGGCTCAGGCTTCTCCAGGACCAGGGAGACCCTGAGGCCAGCACAGAGGAAAGAAGGCGCAAGAGGCCGCTTCTATATCTTGTGAAGTTGCTAACCACCCCCTAAGACACCCACACTTTCCAGGTGGGAAGTTGACGTCCTTAATGACTTTGATCCTTGCAACAACTAAAAACAAAAAGTCGGGGGAGGACCAAATCACTCATGCAAAGCTCCTGTGATGGAACAATACTAATTTCCCCAGGGTTCCTTTGGTCCTGCACACAAAAACTCCTTTCCTTTAAAAGGAAAATTAAAAAAAAAATTCCTCATGAAAGAATAAGAACAGGGAGCAAGATTTCAGCAGATACACCTTATCTATCCTTCCTGCTTATAGAGCGAAGTCTTTTCCTGTCTCTGCCAGGGCCACCTCTGAGGACAGTGGGGCTGGAAGGCAGAAGAGACACAGCAACTGTGGAAGGACATCCCCGGAACTCACCGACAGCAAGGAGTCTCGGAGCTTGTCCACGAAGTTCTCTGGAGGCAGGATGCCAAGGGCTGGTCTGTTGATGAAAGTGCTCTGCAAAAGGCCAGCAGACAAATGGTGACTTCTGGGGGTCTGACCCAGGTCCCTGTCTACCTCCTGCCTTTCCATAGAGGATGGTTCAAATAGGCATGGTGCTGGAAGCTGATGGTGTGGCAATGTCAAGAGTGAGTAAGTTCTTGAGCTCTGTTGTGACACTGCACTATAAGCATGTAAGTTGCTACCACTGTGGGGAACGGAATGAATGATACCAGGACCTCTTCATACTCTTTTTTGCAACTTCCTGAAGATCTATAGTTTTTTTTATATTAGAAACCCATCAGAAGAAAACAAAAAAAGAAAAAAAAAAAAAGGAAAAACCCATCAGAATGACTAAGTACTGCAGGTGGGAAGGTGAAATGATGCAGACAGTCACCTTGGAAAGCAGAACACACACTTGCCCCGTTATCCAACCATCTCCTTCTATGTGTTACTTAAGTGAAATGAGAGCACAGGTCCACACAAAGATGTGTACGTGAGCATTTATGGTGGCTTTTATTAGCATTTGCCAAAAAGCTGGAAGCAACTCAAATGTCCCACCCAGTGGGAAGAGGATAAAGTGTGGTTCATGTACACGGTGCAGCTCCACCCAGCAGCATAAATGAGCAATCTGTTGCCAGTGCCTGGTGGCCCACACCTGCAATCCTAACTACTTGGGAGACAGAGATCAGAAGGATTGTGGTTCGAAGCCAGCCCTGGGCAAATAGTTCATAAGACTCTTATCTCAAAAATACCCAATACACACACACACACACACACAGACACACAGACACAAAAGGTCTGGTGGAATAGCTCAGGTGATAGAGCACCTGCCTAGCAAGCCTGAGACCTAGAGTTCAAACCCCAGTACTGCAAAAATAAATATAAATAAATAAAAATAAAAACATAAAGAACAGGCTGCCAACACACACACTTCCATGGAGGAGTGTCAGTGTCACCATAATAAGCGTAAGAAGGCAGGCAGAAGCAAGGCATCATAGGGTGTGGGTCCATTTAGGCAACATTCTGGAAAAGGCAATACTACCAGCAAACAGCTCAGCGTTGCCAGGGACTGGAGCAAAACTGACTGACAGGCACAAGGAAGAATTTGGGGCAATGAAGTGTTCTGCCTACACTCTTTTTAAAAACTGTGGTTAAAAACTACATAGCACGTCTGCAATGCCTGCACTGGGGAGGTGGAGGCGGGAGGATGTCGAGTTCAGGGCCAGCCTGGGCTACATAGTGAGATCTTGTTTCAAAACCTGCATGACAGAAATTGTACCATCTGAACTGTTTCTTAATGGACAGCTCAGTGACATCAGGTTGTCACTGTGCCCATGGTTCTGCAACTGGGACACCCATCGAACTCCAAACATTTTCTGTCTTCCTAAAGTGAGTCTCGGTCCACATTAAACGCTAGCTCCTCATTTCCCCTCCAACCATGCTATGCCACTGTCTGTTCCAATATGATGCTCTAGGGACCTCCTGTAAGTAGAATCATACAGTATTGTCCTTTCGTGACTGGCTTATGACCCTCAGTACAATGTCCTGAAGGTTCATTCATGTATCAGCATTCTTTTCTTTTCATGGCTGAATAATATTCCCTTGTATAGACATTGGAATTTTTGTTTCTCCATTCATTCAGGGGTGAGCACTTGCGTTGCTTCCACCCACTGGCTACTGTGAGTGTGGGTGTACCAGTGTGTCTGGATTTTGACTGCAGTTACATGCATTTGTTGAAATTCATAGAACCATACACTTAAAAGGGTAGATTTTACTGTGTAAATTATACCTTAATTTTAAAAATTGAAGAAAAAAGGCTCTATGAGGCAGAGGCAGTTCTGGAATTTCTCAATAGAACCAGGATCTTACAGAGGAGCTAGCTAAATAACCAGAGAAGACAGAATGGAAAAAAAAAAAAATCCACACTAGAAAATGACAAAAGTCTCCATGGCAATCTGTCCCCCTCCTTTTACTTGCAGTGCTGGGGATCAAACCCAGGGTCTGGTGATTGCTAGGCAGACCCCTCTACCACGTGAGCCCTGTTCCCTGCCTACTCTTGATTTTGATAGATGTGGGCCCAGAGAAATAATTCCTCTGCAAGGAAATCAACAGTGTGAGCTGATGCTGAACTGACGCTCGCTCCTGACACCTTAGAAATGAGGGCCGAGATGGGGACTAAGACGGATTTGCTTGTCCAAGGACGGGGCAGTCCTGCTCTGCAGGTGGGTGAGGAGGGCAAGGCCTCCATATTTTCAAAGAAAAGAGAAATATACATTTTTATGTGTATTAACTTTAAGATTCTGGTCAAAAATCTTTTTTCTTTTTTCTGTATTAGATTGGGGTTTAAACTCAGGGCTTCAATCTTACAAAGCAGGCGCTCTACAAAAGTATCTTTAACAACCTCTGGGGAAGGGGAAGTGCTGTTAGCTAAATAAGGCAGGTGCTTTGATGGACAAACTCCTATATTAATACAGCTTCATAGTGTCCTTTCCTGGGCTGGGGTGTAGCTCAAGTGGTAGAGTGCCTGCCTAGCAAGCACCAGGCCCTGAGTTCAAACCCCAGTACTGCCAGAGAGAGTAAGAAAAAGAGAGAAAGAGATAGAGAGACAGAGGAAGACAGAGAGAAAGAGAGAGACAGGGAGAGAGAGAGAAGCAGTGACACAGAGAGGGACACAGAGAGAGAGAGAGAGAGAGAGACAGAGAGAGACAAAGAGAGAGAGAAGCAGTGGCTCATGCCTGTAATCCTAGCTACTTGGCAGGCTGATTGAGAAGACTGTGGTTTGAGGCCAGTCTGGGCAAACAGTTCTCAAGACTCCATCTCCAAAATAAGCAGAGCAAAATGAACTAGAGGTGTGGCTCAAGAAGTAGAGTGCCTGCTTTGCAAGTGTGAAGCCCTGAGGTCAAACCCAGTCCCACTAAGAAAAAAAAATGCTCCACAACCTTGAGCTAAGTATGCCCCAAAACATGTCCACCATCTTTCCTTCTTGGGCTGTGGTCTTGCACTGAGCAAGCTCAGGTTTTCCTACATGAATATGCCTGGGCTCCTGAATAACCCCACTTCCTTTGAGGAGGGCACTACTGTGGAGATAACTCTCTCTCCTCACCTGCTGCAGCTAACACATCTTTCTCCCTCTTGTCTTGACTGTGCTTGTTTTGGTTTGCATTTGTAAGAGGTGCTTAACCACTTTTGCTGAAAAGCACAGACTCCTTATTTGGGCCCACGAATTAACTAAAAAAAGGAAAAGGCTTGGCATCTCTGTCTCCATTTTGTAACTGTTGTCCTTTGCTCTGAGCCTTTCTTTCCTGCAGCCACGTTGGAATCAAGGAAGGACAAGGATGATCAATAATATCCTTATGACAAGGATCAAAACTTCCCCTAAGGAACAGCAGAGCCTTGCAGGACAGACCACCCCAAACAAGGACAATTACCTGTAATGATGAGGCTGCACCCTGGAGCAGGAGCAATCATGTCTTGGGAACCAAACTTCAATTGAACCCTTAAAGAACAAGGACTGAGATAATGGTCAACCAGACCACACCTGTGACCGGAACTGTTTTGGTTATTGTTGGCACTGGGGTTTGAACTCAGAGCCTCACATTTGCTAAGCAGGCACTCTGCCACTTGAGCCACTCCATCAGTCCTTTTTAGTGATGGGTATTTTCGAGATAGGGTCTCACGAGCTATTTGCCTAGAGCTGGCTTTGAACTGTGATCCTCCTGATCTCTGCCATCTGAGTAACTAGGATTACAGGCGTGAACCACCAGCGTCAGGCCTAGTGACTGTGAACTATGCACTTCACCCCCTGCCCTAACTCTCTGTCTATTTAGAACTAAATCTCATGTCTGCACCCTGAAGAGGAGCTGAGTGCTTGCTCTGCCTCTTTCCACAGCATGTCCCTGGCTGTGGAATAAGTCTCCTTTCTCTGTTCTGCAGCATGCTTCTTTACTTGGCATGTAGGGGAGAGTGTCCAGACCTGCCATGTGGAAGCCCACACGTCACATGGTCACATGACTGGTGTCCTAAACTCTAGTTTCACATCCACCAAGACGCAAACCCACTGTAGTCGGTTACAGTGCCATTCTTCCCACACTGTCTCTAAAACCCAGGTAGGGTTGCTAGCTGCTCACAGCAGGGCTGACTGTCCTAATCTCACCCTACAGGCTGTGTCCTCAATCACTTTCATTGGATTCAAAAGGAAGAAAACCCCAGTAACAACCAATCCTGGAAAGACACAGGCGGAGGCAAAAGGTTCAACATAGTGGGTTGTGTGTGTGTGAGGAGCCAGTATTTTATACTCTGACCTGATTAGCTCACTTCCAGACCTTTAAAGAACCCACTTCAAATGTGGACAAAGGCCATGGGTCCACTTATCATACAGTATCATTTATAACCGAAAGGAGAGACACTCAGTGTCCAACATTTGGTTAAGTAAACTCAAGCACACTGACTCAAGGTAACGTAACGTGCCTATTAAAAAAGTGTTTTAAAAACATCACAATCGGTTGGTGGGGTGGCTCAGGTCCTAGGGCTCCCGCCTAGCGATCAGATTGGGAGGTCGAGAGTTCGAGACCCACAACCACCTAACGTAAAAAAAAAAAAAAGTCACACTCACATGGCGGCAGGGGGGTCTAAGTAACCAGGAAGGTTTGTACTTCCAGCTCCAGCCTTGGCCTTACTTATTGAGGGCTATTATGAAAACCCAGCATTTATTTCAGGGCAGTTAGAAAGCATTCATACATGCAATTTCATTCCAGAGCCTGTTAGGGGAGTGTAAAAGAGCCAGGTCAGGAGTTAAAGCAATTAGGTTAAATTTCTTAAAATCAGTGAGCTTCAACTACTTTATCTTTAAAATTGGAAGAACACAGCCTGCCCTTCCTTGCTCACTGAGGTGTCAGGAACACCCTGGGAAGTAGTGACTTTCTATTTAGTTGCCCCAGGCCAGGAAGGAGTGGGCAAGTTCCTTGCTACAGAGGGGGCAGGGATGGTCCCAGAGAGAGTGGAGGGGCTCCCACTAT